GTCACATTTTTCTCCGCATCATTCGAGTTGGGCAATTTTTCCAGCCGAAAACTAGCCAAATGCTCAGAAAAAGTTGATAATTGTAGGCAGTTAACTATTATACACGTTTTGAGCAGAAAGTTCCACATTAGACCCGAGTTTGGCAAGCCGAAGAAAATTGCGGTTTAAGACAACCTAATACATAGACTCACAAAAGATTGCAAATGTGCAAAATTTCTGATGCTCTTAAATATTTAGGGTTTTCGATTGCAAATGATGAATTGAAACAGCTGTGTTAACCCTTACCAACGGGGCAATAATCTCTGCTGACAGCAAAGTCATCGGTACCAGCGCACTCACATTCGGTAAATATCAGCGGTGTGCCCTTCTCTAGCTGCAATTGGCTTTATCTTATAAATAATACATTCAGTAATTTTATAAACTTGCCTTGCTGAAAATTGTAAAGTTTGCTCCACTCAATGGGCAGCCAGCTTGGCAAGGCGAGTAGAAGACTTCACCTCTGAGATAAATAATGTTAAACCCACGAATAGCAAATTCTACAAGAAAGTAAGAAAGCACAGGAGCTTTTTTCAAAGTCTTACTTTTTGTTGCATACAGGATAAAATGGCATTCCATCGCATAAGCAGTCTGGCCGACATGAAGGGAAGGAGAAGTTATTTGCTCTAAACGCTTCAGGAATTGATTAGATGCACAGTCAATGTCCTATGCTAACTATAAATGAAACTTACACTCCTTGAACTCCAATCTCACCGATGACAGACTTGCATCCAACCGATGCATTTAGGAACGAAACCAGAGCTGATACAAGAGAACAAAATGCAACCCACGCAGCTGCCTTCCTACCTAAAATGGTGAATTTCTGGCAAATGGCGCACTATTTTACCAGATGAGTTGGTCGTGGTATGATGTTTTCGATTTTTTCACTAGTGTAAAAGCAAGTTTGAAGAAAAAAACATTGTTACGGATTTTGTCACGACTTTGTGCTTCTTTATGAAGGTCGCCAGTCGCCACGGGCAAAAAGTCCAAAAATGCCCGGTCCTATTGCGCACTATCCCCGTCCACTCAGTATGAACGTCCCGAGCTCACTACACGCGTATAACTAGTCGTCTTTATCTTGGGCTGGGAGCATTCGCATGAAAGATCTTTCATCTCATGTGCCTAACATCTCGAAGGAGTCTTGGGAGAACCGTCCATCCGCTAAGGGTGGGCTGCGTGTGGAAGTTTTACTAGGAATCGTTCGGCATACCTTGGCATGGACCGAAGTGGTTGGGGATTTCCAACTGTCTGATCTGATAACAGGCTGACCAGCCCGCTTTCATCTTATTGTGTGAAAATTGGGCAGTTTCTGTGTTTTTGCTATGGTGCAGAATTACATAAAGTCACAAGAGATTGGCTAGAGACAATGCTATACACTAGGGTCCTGTTTGTATCAAGATCAAGGGGGCGGACCGCAAGCGGGCAACATCTGTAATATATCCACAAGCATTTGCACGCAATGCAGATATGATACGGTATCAACAAAGGGGGCGGAGCTTAGTCCCAAGTAGGCCCGCACGCAGATTACATTACAGCGTACAAACCCCACACTCTAGTGGAAGCATGTCACACGCGTGCAGCAGTAGGAAGAGGACGAAGCTTCCATAGAGGGACTAGATAAGGTTGGTGGCAGGACTTCTACTGGGACCGTAAATGTACTTTTCATGGCTGGCA